TTAATTCTAACATCTTTTTCAATATTACATCTTGATAAAATTAAAATTATAAGGTTAAAAGTTGGCTCATTCAAGCAAGTTGAGGGCATAAAGGAGTCTTCCCCTAGTATTTTCATTGCTGTTTCTACATAAATGTATCAGATTGTTCTTTCAGTTCAAATTCCCCGACGTTATTTTTATATGTAAATTTATTGGACTTATTTTCAGTTTGAAGCAGTCCAATGTTCTTAATTAGCATTTCGCTGATTCTGATTTCTTTTAACTGTTTACTGCCTTTTCTATAGGTGTTTTTCTACTTTCTCATATTGGATTCTCAATCTAACACATCTTTATTTATTTTTTAACTGTGTGTTTGTGTCAGGAAAGTGGATGAAGATCTTGGCAAAGAACTGGAGTTGCAAATAAAAGGAGCTGAGAAGCCATCTGTATGGGAACTACTTGGCATTCGTTTTATTCTTCTACCTTATACTATTAGCAAGGTTAGATTTGTTTTAGCAAGTTTTGGAGATTATTATGGTTATGTAGATTTTCAGTTTTTGATGTTTCCACTATATAACTTGGCTGAGCTTTATTAATTTAGCTCATATACCTCAAGGATTTATTCTTGTGTTTCCTTCATACAGTTATTGTTATGGTCTGGTTGTTGGTTTTGGAGATACAAAGTGAGACAAATACCATATTCTTGGGAAGATGCCGCTTACCTGACGCAAAGATCACTTAGAGTGCCAATTGATGCATGGAAAGGCATCGGTGAGCAATTGACTGTTGCATTGCTAATTTTCTTGCAGAAAAAAGAAAGAAAGAAATGGAGCTCTTTCCTTGTTCCATTATTTGTTCCCTTCACCTCCTACTGCTCAAGCTTTTCGCTACCCAAAAATATTAATGAATTTCCACATTAAATGATGACAGAATGCCCATATTTGTTCAAAAGGAAACGATTAGCCACTTATTTTCTTGCTCTCTTAAACGTCCAGAGTTCCATTGTCAATTTATGCTTTATCTACAATGGCTAATCCATTATTGCTTGAATTCTGTAAATCAGATGAATCAACAAAAGAAGACCTTATTCGGAGATGTTTATGGAAGAAATCCAACTTGGAGAACTACCTGTCGGAAATTCGAAAAGAATCGAAACGACGGAGGTAGCCAGATACGATTGACCCACAGGCCACAACCTTGTGCTTTTGGAACACCTGCAACAATTTTCGGTAAAATTCAACCAAAATAGTTCACCTAGTCTTACCATGCAAGAGAATTAGCTAGATTTCCTGCGAGTCTGTTACAGCAACCATATACCATAGCAATCGAATTATTGCCTCAAAGTTTAAACTATTTGTACCAGTTGAGCCTCATTGTGATTTGTCTTTGGAAGATACACATTTTTGACCGCAAATCTTTTCTTTAGGTGGTGGTTACACGAGGTAATTTCTGTTCTTCAGATCAATTGTATCTCTCTGGATATCAGTCGGGAATCTCTTGGTTTCATGTCAGTACTCGGTACATTGGGAGTGTTGTATGCATTTTTTTTATTTTATGAGTTTAAAGTTGCTGCTGATAATATTGTTATAGAAATGAAGTAATTATCTTAATATTTACTTTCAGTATTCTCCTTGAGTCGTTTGACTTCTTCCACCAAACAACTGGAATAATAATAGATCGTGATCAGAGTACACATTTTTTTTTTCTCCTATTTGGAAAATTCAAGTTGACTTTCTCAAACGGATTCGATGTGCTTCTTCTACAGAGATTTTAAATAAAGACATAGTCGTTTGGATTTTTGGAATTAGCTTTCAACGATCGTGTTCCGTTCCTTTGGAAAAACTGAAAAGCTTTGTTTCCAAGGAAGTCGTTTTGCTTCAGAAAGAGTTGAAAACTTGGAATATAGAGAATAAAATTCTATTTTCATTTCAGAAATCATTTTAAAATTGATTTCCAACTTGAAATCATATTTATTTTTAGTTTTTTTCTTTTAATGGTTTGGCTTACTTCTCAGCCCCTTTGTATCCCTTTAAAACAAGCAGATGTATATGTATATTTCATATTACATTATTTAAAATCTTATGGAACATTATGGAAACTTACCTCAAAGTAGAAATATCGAACAATATTAGGATAAAAGGAGAAATATCTAAAAGATATGGACATAAAAATATAAAAAGAAAAAACTTTGATTTAGTAACAAATTAGATTAGAAGTAGTTTTTGTGTAAGGTATAGCGTCGGCTATTCGGGGAGGCCAAAAGACTGATCGCAAAGTGGAACGGTCAAATCATCGGGACGGGGAATCTTTTATTCCTGGCCCCAATCTTGCCGACCTTCCAATTTATTTATTTTTCTTTGGTACCGATTGAAATAATGAAACAAAAGAAGAAAAAAACAACTCTAATTATGGTTCGATTAATCAGTCTTAGCCTTTTAATTTCATAAACAAATAGAAAAAGAGTCTGAGTGAAGGTGCTTTCCTTTAGTAATTTTAATTTCTTCCAATTGAATTTTGAACTCGAGTTTAATTTGGAAGTTAAAAGTTTATTGTAAAATGAACCAAAAATATACGGAAATGCAATTTGAGAGAAAAAGAAGAGGAAGGAGAAATCCCACGCAAAGACGGGACAGGACGGGCAGCGTCTGGAATTTTCTTTCCAACGGAAGCTAACTCCGTCATAACGGGCGTTAATGGTTTGTTTCGGTGTGACGTCGGCTTCTGAATCTGGCTCCGGTTCCATACCAAATATTCCATTTCGACGTTCGGGCCGAGGGTAACGGCGAATGCCAGATAATACACACATACGTGGCGGAAAAGTAATGGATAATTCATTTGGTTGCCGTGACCAAATTGTCCTTCTAATCTCCTATAAATTGAGCCCTCCAGCCCTTGTAATCCCCGCAATTGAATCTCTCCTCTTCTCTGATCGTAGCAAACCAACGCGAATTCCACCAAGGTAGTTTTTGTTCCTCTTGTTTATCGTTGTTTTCTGTTTTCTTAGATCTTGTTCTTCCATTTCGAGGGATCGAATATGTTTTCGGATTTTTCTCCACCTTTGTTCTCTAAATTATTCATCTGTGGATTTTTATGGCTGGATCTGATGAATTGTGGTTAGATCTGCTTGAATCATTTGAAGTTTTTTATTCTTGCGTCTTTGGATCGTGCTGAATTTTTTATGAGATTGGATTTGAAGCGTCAGGATTCTTTTGATTTTATGGAAGTAGTATTTAGGTTTTCAACCATGTATCGATGGTGGAATTTAGGGTTTTAACTTTATGAGAACAATACTGTTTACATTATCCTTTTGGTTCACTTGTTTGCAATGGATTTTTGTATCTCATCTCTCTGTTTTGTTCTATGTAGATGCAAATCTTCGTTAAGACCCTCACAGGCAAGACCATCACCCTTGAGGTTGAGTCTTCTGACACCATCGATAATGTTAAGGCCAAGATCCAGGA